TAATGATGCTGAGAAATTAGCTTTGGTATCAGTGAGTTTACAAGGAGAAGCTTTGAGCTGGTACAATTGGGAAGTAAACAGAAAAGATTTTGAGACTTGGAGTCAGTTTAAGACAAGTTTGCTGTTACGCTTTGGGAACTTGAAGATTAGAGGTCCAAGCCAAAGTTTGTTTTGCATTAAGCAAACGGGATCTATAGCTGATTATGTGCAGAGGTTTGAAGACTTATCTTCCCAAGTAACTGGGTTGGATGATCAGAAATTAGAGGGCATTTTTTTGAATGGGTTAACTCAGGAGATGCAAGAGTTAGTTCATATGCAGAAACCAAGGAATTTGCCAGAAATGGTAGCAGAGGCTAGAGCAATGGAATCTAGCATTATAAGAAGAGTGGTTAAGAAAGAGCTGTTATTAGCTAATAAAGAGAATGCAGAGGGATACAGTTCTGATTACAAAGTTCATAATACTTACAACACCAACAATTGGAAAATGAAAACAATTGCTACTGATGCTATACAAGGGGCTAACAAACAAGGGGCGCGAGTAGATCAAAGACCAAGAAGACACAACTCTAATGCTGAATTAGATGAAAAGCGAAGAAGAAGAATATGCTTTAAGTGTGATGGTCCTTGGAACAAAGATCATAAATGTCCAAACAAAGAATTAAGGGTGTTGACTGTCTTTAATGGCTATGAGGTTGAAGTATTGAATGGGAATAGTGACGAGGAGTTAGTAGAAGAAGTTGCTGGTGAGTGCATGGCACTATCATTCTCATCATTTAGAGGGATTTCTTCTCCATCAACCACTAAAGTGAGAGGTATGGTTGGGACTGCTAGTGTGATTATAATGTTGGACAGTGGGGCAACCCACAATTTTATATCTCCAGCAGCGGTTACAAAACTGAAATTGAAATGTAGAGACGATCCTAACCTTAATGTGAGGCTGGGTACAGGGATTACAGTCCAAGGAATGGGAGTTTGTGAGAAAGTAAAATTTTCAGTTCAAGATTTGGAATTCACTACAGACTTTGTGGTGTTGGAGTTAGGTCAGATTGACATTATTTTGGGAGTTTACTGGCTGAGCACATTGGGAGACTGTAAGGTGAACTGGCAGAAAAATGAGATGTCATTTTTATACAAGAAAAAGATAGTATCATTGAAGGGTGAATCAGATTTAGACATTGCAAAAATGTCCTTAAAATCACTCTCCAGTGGATTTACTTTCCAAAAGAAAGGTGTGGAAGTGGCTTTGTGCAGTCAACAGATAACAACATCAATGATTCAGCCATTAGAGGCGGATATTCAAACAGTATTGGCCAAGTTTGATAAGGTATTTTCAATACCTACAGAATTACCTCCTATTAGAGGAAGAGAGCACTCGATTCACCTCTTACCTGGGAATAATTCTATCAGTG